TTTATAAAAGTTTTATAGTTTTCTTTCAATAGGTTCCAAACATTTTCAAAATAAGTGTATTCCCTAGGTGTTTGCTAATTTTGGTTATATTTAGTGGTAATATTATTTCCCTAGTATATTCTCTTACTGTTTATAGTTGATTATTAACTTTGCTGTATGAATTAAAAATTGTTCTTTGTTGAATCTTTTTATGTCTAATAAATTTTTGATTACTTAAATATGTAAAGTGGAGGAAAATGGACCAAAACTCTGTTTTGAGTGGATGGAGAGGCATAGTGAGGGATGGGCTCACTGTTCTACTTGGTCAATTCCCCCTCTCTCTGGTAGCCCCAAGAACAGCCCCTCCACAAGTCTCACTTGCCCCCCACAGGTCAAAGCTTGAAACCCAGAAGGTGAACAATAAACTCATCTACAGATAATGGCTGTTTTACCTCTTCCTTTGTTATATATATACTTCTTATTCTGTCACACAATAGTCTTTCGATAAATATTCATTAACTTAAAGAATGAATAATGAATTAATTATACTGTTTAGTACTTCCAAAGGTTATTAAAAATGATAGTAAAACAGGCATCTTCATCTTTTTCTTGACTTTAAAATAAATACTTCTGGTATTTAACCAAGAATCATAGTACGATCTCTTCAAGGTAGATATTTTTTTCTATTCAGGAATTTCTTGTTTATATTCTATTTAAAATTTTAGAGAAATGGATAATGAACTTTATACATGCTTAGCAGCATCTGTGAAGATAATCAGTTTATTTCTTAGCTATTTCAATATTTTAAATGATCTCCTTATTGAAGTATTATTTTGATCCCTGAATAGAATTACTTGATTATGTTATTCTGTGATTTGAATGTACTCTTATCTAAATGCCAATTTTCATATATAATACATATATTATTATATTATTACTTACAAAATATATTTATATTTTCTTTTTATATATTTATAAAATATTGTTACTTTGAAAAATATATAATAGTTTTATAAGTAATAATATTATTTATATTTTATATATAAAATATATAAAGTAATAGTAATTTATACTTTTCAGTTTATTAAATGCATGTTTGTTAGATTTGGAGATCAAGGTTATGCTACCTCAATGGTTGTCAAGTGTGGCTGCTTACCCGAATCACCTGCGGTGACTTATTAAAAATACAGATGTTAGGCTTAGGGTGGTGGCTCCTCCCTATCATCCCAGTATTTTTGGGGCTGAGGCAGGAGGATCACTAGAGGCCAGGAGTTTGAGGTTACAGTGAGCTGTGATTACACCACTGCAATCCAGCCTGGGTAACAGAATGAAACTCTAACTCTTTAAATAAATTAAAAAAAAAAAGTACAGACAGCTCGGCTCAATAGAAATTACTCTTTCAAATTCTTAAGTTTCTGTTTTTAACTTTAATAATTCAATACTTTTGCTTTTCCTTTATTCTTTGCTATGTTGGTTGCCCAGTTTACTAGCTTTCATCTTTCCTGCTTAGTAAGGTAAGACTTACAGTTTCCTCTATCTACACAACTAGCTGCTTCCCGTAATCTCATACCTGTTAGTTTGTTATTAATTTTTAGCTTTATTTCACAGGATTCAAGAATGTGACTTATGTAGGTTCTACTTTTTAGAATTTCATGTGGTTTTCTTTGTGGCATAATATATAGTAGATTTTTATGAAAATTCAATGAGGATTTAAAAAGGTGAGGTATAGAGGTAATATGTTTTAAGGTTTAGCATTCAATAGATAACTATTAAATTAACAATCATTAACGATTACATTGTTAATGTCTTCTATATCATTTATTTATTTATTTTTGGCTTCTTACTTCATTACTTTATAAGTAATTAACCTAATTATTACTTTATAAGTAATAATAATACCATTTCTATTTTATATATAAAATGTATAAAGTTATAATAATTTATACTTTTCCCTTTTTTAAATGCATTTTTGTCAGATTTGGAGATCAAGGTTATGCTAACTCAATGGTTGTCAACTGTGGGAGACACTTTATAGTCTCCTATTACCATATCATTTTTTTGTTTTTTGTTGCTTCATTTACGTGGAATGTAAATTGACCCATAAAGTAGGCAAAGCCTCCCTTAATTTTGTATTCCACTGTTTTTTAGTTCTACTCTAAAATAAGCAGTAGTGTATAATTTCACATCTTGAAAACAGCATTTGCACTTCTGTACAGATGTGTCTGGAAATATATCATTTCCAGCTGTATTTTGGGGCTCGGTTTTAACATTTTTGGGTGCAAGTTTGGCAAACAATCTTCCTCCACGAAACTTCCTTCTGGGCTCTTCCTTTGCTGCTCCTTCTACTAACGCAACCACCCTTTGAGCCCCTTTGGTGGTTGCAGCAGGGAGTGGGCACTAGATACCTGGTGGGACTTATCTTTCTATTTCTCACCCTTTGAAATAATTTTAACTTAATATTGTATATTTTTAAATTACAACACATAGTTGAGTTTAGGTTTTTGGCCAAATCTCAGTCTTTTTCTTTTGATAGACAAATCTCTTCTAGGTACATTTTTTTTTTGTCAAAATAATATCTGTTATTTATGTTTTAAGTGATTGCTTGTTATTTCCTTTTCTGTCTTTCCTTTTTTGTTACATGGATTTTATTTTCCTTTTTCCCCTGGAATATTGAAAACTATTTCTAAAATCTCTGAGGAGTTATTTTTTAGTGATTAAATGTTCATAAACTTGTAGGTTCTCAAGAAGCTATTTTGGTTACTAAAAATTGTTGAACTTTTAGCTTTCCAATTTTCATTGTTAACACATTTGTACTCTTAAATATTCTCTTAAGACACGTTTTCCAAAAGATACCTGTGTTCCTTAGAATAAATGGCTTGCAGAATTGTGCTACTCCTAATTCTTGCATGCCATGTTAAGATTATTATTAATGTTGCAGAATACTTTAAATATCCCCTCTTTATTTATTCATTTCCTGACTGACTGCTTATATTCATGTTTCAGTCATTCTATTTGCCTAAAATTAGCGTGGGTGGCTTCTCTTTGAGTCTTTCACTATTTACTTGAAAAATGTTAAAGTCCTTTTCTTCGAACTTGACGTGGAGAGCTAAATGAAATGGAGAAATATTAAAAACTGGGCGATTCAGAAGGGTGAGTAGGTGGAGAAAGAACTCGGGCTGAGTGCAGTACCAAATGGGACCTTCATTTCTGCCTAGTTTCTTAGGGTTTGCTAAACCTGCAGAGTCGGGGACCCATGTTCCATATCTGGCTTCCCCTGTAAGTGAACATTGCCTGTATCAAGCAGCTTTCCTTCAGTCTCTACCACCTGCGTAGGGAGTGTGCTGTATCTTTGAGTTGGGGGGTTGTTGTCAGGAATGTGTCTTCTGCCTGGTCGTTAACAACCCTGGTATTGGGTGTCACCAGCACCAGAGGAAATATCTCAAATGGTTACTGACCCTGTGCTCCTTATGGCTAGGGGTACTCCTCCAGTCTCTGCCCCATCTCCAAATGGGGCATCACAGGTGACCCAGTCTTTCTAAGTGGAGTAAAACCTCCCATTTTCATCTCCACCCTGTTAACATCTCCAGCCCTTATGCCTCAAAATGAAGATAAGTAACATTTTTTTTTTTTTTTTTTTGAGACGGAGTCTCGCTCTGTCGCCCAGGCTGGAGTGCAGTGGCCGGATCTCAGCTCACTGCAAGCTCCGCCTCCCGGGTTCACGCCATTCTCCTGCCTCAGCCTCCCAAGTAGCTGGGACTACAGGCGCCTGCCACCTCGCCCGGCTAATTTTTTGTATTTTTTTGGTAGAGACGGGGTTTCACTATGTTAGCCAGGATGGTCTCGATCTCCTGACCTCGTGATCCGCCCGTCTCGGCCTCCCAAAGTGCTGGGATTACAGGCTTGAGCCACCGTGCCCGGCCAGTAAGATTTTTTTTAAAAGAAATCTGTGCACCCACTATTAACTCTAGAGCTTTAGCCAATGAATGTTGGGATAAAAAGGTACCTACTTTGTTCAATGTGAATTATTTGTTGCACAAGTCTGAATAATTAAATTGTTTCTAAAACTCTCTGCTAACTGGTTATCTAAGAGGGACATGTGGTTCATAATTCATTAATATGATAGTAAATCCCTTTTTAGTCACATTTGCCTCCAATTCTTAGACAGACCTAACCGACCTGGTGAACCTTGCATGTGTCACTGGGAGGGAGAAGTGCTGTAGTAGAGAAAGCTGAGCTATACCGGGAATTAGGTTGGTTATTTACCTTCCTTAAGTATATCACTTAGGTGCCATGATCTCAGATTCTTCCCCCAGAAGATGAGAATAACACCACCTGTGCTGCCTACACAGGTGTTTGGTTTTTTTAGTTTTTTTTTTTTGAATAAATGAACGTTCTCCTTCTCTCTCCCTCTCTCTATCCTCAGGCCAAGAATTGAAAAGCACTACGTAAGAGCAAGCTTGCATTATTCTTTCTTCCTGAATTGAAGAGGAGTGGGTTTCCTTCTCACAGGTGTTACTCCTTTGAGTAAAAGAAAAACATTTTAGCTAAAAGGAAAATAAAGAGGCAGTCTGCTCGTCTGCTCCACCTGGTCGATTCATTCATTTGTTCAATGCAACATTACACAAGTCCAACCCCTCTTCTCACAAAGTTTATTTTTAGGAGCAGAGACAGGCCATATACGAATATAAATACAAGATCATTTTAACCAGTGATGAACATCATTAAGAAAAGTGGAAGAAAGGGTGGAAAAGGACCAGCTAGAGGAGGCACAGTGTTGCTATTTTAGATAATATGGGGAGGAAAGATCTATTTTTGTCTATTCTGGAGAATTGAAACATGTAATTAATAAACTGCCTGGCAACAGTCTAATGCTTGAAATTTCCCAAAATATCTCTTTTTCTTTCTGTATTGCATGACACGTTTTTAAGGCACACAGTCCAAATATGATCTAGATTTGAGAGGCAGACACAAGGAATCTGAGACCTAACAGGAAAAAATTTCAAAACAGTGAGTGTACCTACCCATTTCACGCCTGGTGCTGGCCACGCCTGTGCCATACACCTCTAAAACATCCTTTATTGTCCTCATAGACTCATCGTACTTGGCTGCAAGACCAAGGAAGTTATAGGAGCCCATGTTGATGACATCTTTGATGACTCTTCCAGTAAACCTGCAGGGAAACATGTAAATGAGCACACAATCCTTTCCCCAGGGTTATGCATGATTCAAAAAATCCCTGATGGAAGGTTTGGGTTCCTATGAAGAAAAAGAGAATGAGGTGACCAAGGAGATGGCAGCTGAGATCCGTGAGGTGGAATAGAACTGGCAGGAGGTGGTTCAGTCTGTCCTAGAGGTTGGTTTCCCTCAGAGGATCCAGACCCCCTCAGCCAGTGCCAGACCCAGAAGAGGGTTCTTCAGTCCCTGGAAGCTGGAAAAGGATGAACAGTCAAGTAGCTTCCAGCTCACAGCTTCCAGCTCCCTCCAACTTGGACCTGCCACAGCTCCAGGACTTGACTGGATGGAGACAGGACAATCTCCGATATTCATTGGTCATCAGGATATACCAGGAGTTGGTAACATCCACTCAGGTGCCACACCTCCCTGGATGATCCAAGATGAAGGATACATCTCTGGGAACCAACAAACAGGACCATCCTATAAAGAATTTATTAAAGAAAAGGAAAAAGTTGAAGAAACTTTCCCCAAGCTGAGTTGGGGCCAACTTTGATCACAGCTCCAGGACCAGTGCAAACTGACTGCCCTCTTTGAACTGCGTCTGGAATAATGGATACTGCTGGCAGTTCAAGCATCAACTCAGAACTGAAGCTGCAGCAGTGAACAAGCAGTCACATTTAAAAAAAAAAAAAAAAAAAAAAAGCTAATCATTCCCAGATGCTCTACCAACTACCATGAGGCTAAAAGCAAAATCAGCAAAATCCTACCTGCTATTATTCTTTCTACCAAGTTCATTATCCTTGTCTTTCTTAGGAAACAGATATACCCATTCATTTGATTTAATAAGTCTTATTTTTCAAATGTAAAAAAAAAAAAATTATCCTAGTGCTGGAGAGGCCTTAGGTCTGGCCCAAATGATATATTTTCTTTCTTATTAACTTGCACTGTTGTCACCATAAAGAAAAAAAAAAAAGACAACCTTGTCATTTGAAGCAATTTGGATAGAACTGGAGGCCTTTATATTAAATGAAATAAGCAAGGCACAGAAGTCAAATATCACATTTTTAAAGTCTATAACATGGGAGCTAAAAAGGCATATCCCATGAAGGGAGAGTAGATTGGTTGTTACTGGAGGCTAGAAAAGGTAGGGAGGAGGGGGAGAAGTTGACTAACAGGTACAAAGATACGGTTTGATAGAAGAAATAAAACTCAGATCAGTAGGGTGACTGTGGTTTATAAAATAATGTATGGTCTATTTTAAAATAGCTATAAGAAAATAATTTAAATGATTCTGTCATAAAAAAACAAATATTTAAGATGATGGATGCCCCAAGTACACTGATTTGATCTTTACAGTTTATAAGAATGTATTAAATTATTATGTGTACTCCAAAATAATGTACATCTATTATGCATCAAAAAAGTTGTTACCAAAAAATGGTTTTCCCTAAGAGAAAGGTAAACCCATGATGAAGTTGGGCAGAGCATTGGAGAAAGACATCTTGAGCCATGGATTGTTACTTAGCCCTGATTTTCCTTGGGCACTTATTTCCACGACACTTATGCTCTGGTTTAAATTCCAGCAAGAGCCTTCTAACGGAACGAGAACCATGGTCATCACTGTCTCATTCAGCTAGAAGTAGGAGAGTAGAATTTGTCAATAAAGCTGAAAGGGGTCTTCCTGGCTGGCTTGGTGTGTTCTGCACCTTCTGACACAGGTCTTAGGTTAATTACAATCCAAAAAGTCACTCTGGCAGCTGCTTAATTACTTTACTGTGCTTTCTTCCCCTGGCATCAGGAGGGCTTGCAAAGGCATAAATGATACAAAACCAACGGCTTCCATGCCTTGTTTTTTTCAGATTTGTCATCTAGTGCCCATGCTAGGATTTCCTTGAAAGGATTTTCTTTTCCCGAAGCCCCCCAAGTGGCGCGCTCACCTAAATGTCCAGTTATAGTCATCCGACACCCTCTCCATCACGTCAAACAGAGCCCCTGGGGCACTGCAGATGGGCCGGTTCCAGTTGTCTCTGATTCGCATGTAAAGGTTTCGTGTATAAAAATTTTCAAAGTCTTGATACAGTGGTACAAAATCCTGTTAGAACAAAGGTAGAAGGTTATCTTTGGTTCTTTGCTTTCTGGATTTCACTTACAATTGAGGAAGGGAAGAAGATCTGGAAGAGCTATGGAAATAACACATCTACAGATACATTTTGAGCAAAGGTCAGCAGGTGAGGGAAGTAAATCTGTGAGGCCAAAGAGTATGCCTTTTAGTGGGGGAATGGAAACATGTGATGAATAGGGGTAACAAAGATGTCAGTGCAATACAAGCACGAGAGCAAGTGGTCACAACAGATCCCAGCAGTTTCTCTAAGGGTAACACAGGTGTCTATGTCCAAAGCAGTTTCGTTGGGAAAAAATGGTTGAGATGATCATGTGTTTTCAACTTTTTTGAACATGAATATATCCACTCACTGTGTTTTTAGAAGTGGGGATGAACTTGAACTGTTGGACCTGCTGGCAAAACTGCTGTTGGGGGGTGGCTGGCTGTTACATGGCCCAGGGCTTGGAAACTGATCAGTGGAGCTCGTGGAGGCAGCAGGCCTCTCTCACGGCTGAGGTAACAACACTGAGTTGCTGTATAAAGTGTAATCCATGACTAAAGAGCTCTGCAATCTAGCTGAGGCTTAAAGCAAGACATGTCTAATGTTATCATTTGACTCTTAATAGTTCCCTCTTCCAGTTTGGAAAAAAAAGTACAGCTCATTTCCGGCCCTCATTTAATTTTACATAAACATGCTCTTTGAGGCTGAAGCAAATATGACTGATTTTCAATGTGAAAATAAAATATAAAAACTGTTCTTGGAGTTAGTTCTAAACGGAACTAACATCAGAATCATCTGCATCAGAATAATCTATTTAGGAAAAATCAGATTCATCAAATGAATTATTGGCCAATAACTGTTCAAGAATGATGCTAACATCACACATAGGAATGCTACGTTTTCTAGGATTTGACATTTTCTGTGAGCTAGAGATAAATTATGTAAGTGGAATTACCATTACTAAAAAAAGAATGCTATAAATAGAATGATGTCTTTTGTTTTCAAAGTTGATATACTGGAGCTATGCGAAAATAATACAAGTGAGATATTAATAGTACATGGCAAAGTTTTCTTAGGATAAATGCTGCAGACTCAAGATTTTCCCGTGAGTATTCTTGGAGCAAACAGGAAGAAAGTTAATCCAAGGCAGAAAATACAACAAGATTCTTCTGCGAGTATTCTCAGAGCAAACAGGAAGAAAGTTAATCCAAGGCAGAAAATGCAATAACTGTGGTCTAAGCCAAGTACTTCGGACATTCATGGGATTAGAGTAGGAGGGAGAGTCCCACCTTGTTTGAGGAATCAGGGAAGCTTTATGTAGGAGAGTCCCTGGTGATGGACACCAAGGCAGAATGAGATTGTTATGGGCAGGGATGGTTGGGGAGTTCTCAGGAGAGTGGGTTTGTGTGCTGGGAACGTGGAGTGCATTTGGGAAGAATTAATAAGAATAAAATATAATGCGTATGCTGTCACTCTTTGCTCAGAACTTACAATGGCTCCCACCTCACTCCTGATTTGATGTCCTGACTCATATGGCTTTAGGTTACCTCTCTGACCCCATCCCCTAACGACTCCCTACAGAGTGGGTGAGGCTGCAATGTCAGCTGGGCACAGACAGTGGGAACTTGAGCACCCGAAGCATTTGCAGGAAGAGCTCATCATTTATCCTGCAGGTAATGAGGAGTCACTGAATAACTGGGAGTGAGCGTTCTCATTCTTCCTCCTATGCTCTTAGAGCACTTGGCTCTCCTTTCCGTTATTAAATGGAGCTGATTTCCTGAAGGAACAAGGAAACCATGAGGAGTGCCTTTGTGGATGACCTTCTTATGCTACTGCTTTGCCCACTCATTCTCTGCGCTGGTTCATTGCAGAAGATAATATAGAGAATAGGCAGGTTTTGATGGCAGATGGCTACACCCAAGCCACAGACTGTTCCATCACTTCATCCTTTGGTCCTTGGTGAGAATAGCATCATTTATTGGGGAAAAACTATAATTTTTTCTGTAGGAAAGAATGTTCATAAGCATATACTCTCTGAATTTGAAGGATGGTTGGGCAATTCTACATTTGAAAGTCTCACCTTGAATGCTTTTTCTTTAAGTAGCTGTGATCTAGGTTTTGTTAAAATTTAAAGCTCCAAGTTTCTGATAATCAATTATACTCTTTATATGTCTTTCTCACAGGGAAAGAGATATATTTTTGAGGCTACAAGATTATATAATTCTAGAAAACTCATTCTCAAACTGTTTCTTCTTTGATTCAATACATTTTTTCAGACTGTTTACTGCTTTGTGAATTATTCTATATCCCCAAATGTTGTTTCTCTATTTATAATTTTAAAAGCCTTATTTGAAATGATAACCTGTAAACTCTTTCTATCATGAGAAAAGAGAGAAGTAGGTGTGTAAGTAATACTTCTGGACTATGAAGAGAATTATAATTTTAGGTTTTATGAAAAATCTTACCCAAAATAAAGTAGCAGTTGGTTTTGGAGAGAAGGAGACAAGAACCAAAATATTCTGTCTATAAAATTAAAATTAATTTCAGATTTGGAACCACAAGATTCACAGGGCACCAGGGCTAGAGGCGCCACTACAATCACAGAGCAGGGGTCCCCAACCCCTGGGCTGCAGACAGGTACCAGTCTGTGGCCTGTTAACCGCACAGCAGGAGGTGAGCAGCGGGTGAGTGAGAATTACCACCTGAGCTCTGAGCTCCACCTCCTGTCAAATCAGCAGTGGCATGAGACTCTCCTAGGAGTGCAAACCCTATTGTGAACTACGCATGCAAGGGGTCTAGGTTATGTGATCCTTATGAGAATCTAATGCCTAATGATCTGAGGTGGAACAGTTTCATCCTGAAACTATACCCCTTCACCCCACCTGGCTTTTTGTGGAAAACATTGTCTTCCTCAAAACCAGTTCCTGGTGCCAAAAAGATTGGGGACTGCTGTTTTAGAGCTCAAACACCCACTCGACCCATGAGGAGAATCAGGCCCAGAAAGGTGCGTGACTTGAACTCTGGTCAGCCTTGGACCTCACCCACTCCCCTAGACAGAGACTTCAGAGTAATTTCGGTCATACCTAGCTTCCCTCCAAAACACCACTGATGACAAAAACCCTGACCCATGATATGGAAAACTAGGGCCAGTAGGTTGCCAGACTATATATAGTAGCAGTGTCCTTTAGTCATAGGGAACTTGGCGTTGGCTTGAAAAAACAGCCCATGGCTTCCCAGCCCATGCCACATGTGGATGCATTGTCATGGCCACCTAAGAGAAGGTCAGAAAATACTTCATCCTGTCTAACCTCTCTGCCTCCTGACTCAGGGATTCAGAATTTGTACCTATGTAGAAATGGGCAGCTGTCTCTTCACTGAGATACATGCTTTGAGGGCAAGACACAGGGATTCTAATATATTCTGTGGGGTCAGAAAAGGCTTCCTTCTAGGGAATAATCTTCATGCTCAATAGAAATTTTATAAATTAAGTACTTGCAACTCCCCTGCAAAAAGGAAGTGCTAGTTTTTTTTTTTTTTTTAAAGTACTCAGAGTTATTTCTTTGTGCATGACATAAACATTAACCCAGATCCGATATACAAGGTCAGTAACGTACATGTTTCTGAGAGGGCCAATTGAGTTCAGAGACCTACTTAGAATTAAAGATCTGATAGGTGAATGAACTGACTTGCTTTTGGGCGTGGCCCTCTTCTTCTCCCCACCTGCGAGGTTTCCTGTCTGGGTGTATTTCCACTCCACCCCATTCCTTTAAACAGCCAGGAGCTTTCTTCAGGAGCAGCCAACACCTTCCAAAGGTCAATGTCCTCTAGTCTCAGAGAAGCTTCCCACAGCATTTTAACTAAACCAGAAAATGAAGCCTGACTTGATATTTCAAAAACAAAAGCATTGCAATAGGATGTATCTTTATTTATCTGTAGACTTAATTTGTCGTTTGCCTTACCATCTTTATTTTGCTTTCTGAACAAATGGCTAGATGTGATAGAAAATACCAGGCCATAAGGACACAATCATTTTGGAGAACGGAGTGTAGTAAGAGATGAGTTAAATCTAAAAAGACCCACAAAATAGTATTATGTCTTCTGCAATGTCATAATCTTTATTTTTCAACCTTTATATTTGTACTATAATTTATAATTTTCCAAGTGCTATAGATATTTCTATCAAATTTTTATAGATAAGTTGATGGAAAGTCAGAAAACTTGATTGGACAAAATAGAAATTATTAATATTTCCAGTTCCCAAACCATGCTCTTTCCAATAAACCCTGCTACAAGGCTTTATGCTTGTACGAAAGTGAAAAGAGTATATCCATAGCTCATTGTTAAAACTATTATCAAATTTGGAAGCATATCTCTTGTAGGGTGAGAAAGAATCTTTATCAAACACAAAGTTATTCATTTGTATCTATATTGACACTTCAGTTCTCACTGAACACTGTATTTTATATAATTGTCCTTTTGAGAGCCAGCTGTTTCTAAGGCAGAACTTGGGTTAATAACAAAATACGCGTATATTTTCCTTTTTATTGGTAAAGGTAACTGTATTTACAGTAGTTCTTCGAAGTATAAGAACCTAACATAAAGATGGCTAAATTTAATTTTTATTCTTAAAGAATTAGAGATATTGACTAAAGGTGGCAGACTCAGTACTTGTATGAATCCTACCACTCTTCTAAAAGTTCCATGTAAATAACAATAAAAAATAGATACTTAAGAAACAAAATAAAGTTATAAATGCCTAGAAAGAGCATCAAGAGTGTCATCAATGCATCAGAAATGCAGAAGAATCACAAAGACAGACATAAGTAAGATTTGATCACTGGGGAAATTAAACCACAGGAAACCATGGGTCCAAATATTTGCAGAGAAGACTGGCATGGATGTAAGCTAATAAAGGCAGCTTCAAGTTGAGAGTGCAGAACTATAACAAGCTGACATTTAAGGTGAGGGTACATCCCTTCATCTTCTTCCT